CATCCTGTGGGCAAGGTGGAGCTAGCCAATTCAAAAAAATGAAACAAAGTTTGCTTTTTCCATAATAAAATAAAAAATGCTCATTCCAAAATGTCTGAAAAATGAAGAAAAGAAAAAGAAGGAAAAAAGTCATCCAGAGTCTGATCATTCAGAGACCAGTATTTATAATTAGTACGTTTCCTTCCATTATTTTTGTCTTGCATATTTTTATTCATATTTTTGATTAGATAGTACATACTAAATTATAATTTTAATTCATTTTTATTATGATACATGTTAATACAAATGGCCGGCAGGTATATGACAATGCTCAGCATCACTAATGAATAGGGAGATGCAAATCAAAACCACAATGAGATAATCACCTCACACTAATTAGAATGGTTATTATCAAAAAGACAAAAAATAGCACATGCTGGTGAGGATGCAGAGAAAGAAGAACTCTTATACACTGTTGGTGGGACTGTAAATTAGTACAGCCATTATGGAAAACCAGTATGGAGGTTCCTCAAACACTTAAAAGTAGACCTACCATATAACCCAGCAATTCCACTACTGGATATATATCCGAAGGAATCGAAATTAGCATATTGAAGAGATATCTGCATTCACATGTTTATTGCAGCATTATTCACAATAACCAAGATATGGAATTAATCTAAATGTCCATCGAAGGATGAATAAAGAAAATGTGTTATACATACACAGTGGAATACTATTCAACTATGAAAAGAATGAAATCCTGTCATTTGAAGCAACATAGATGAGCCTGGGGGACATACGTGATATTGAGCAAAAGCTCAATAGGTTTTTCTTTTAAGTAGGAAGCAGTGGAATCGCTTTGGTCTTCGGAAGCCCTGCCTGAGGTTGGTGTGGGCACCAATGGAGAAGGGACTAAGGCAGGGGGAGCTGTTCAGAGGTGACTGTAGTTGTCCAGGCAGTGTCTTCTGATGCAGTAGAGGAGGGGCTAGAGATGAAGACCAGATGCAATTTGGGAAACAATGTGTGATCCCGTTCTCTTGATTTGTTTCTAAATATTTCTTTTTCCCGTTCTCACTCTCCTCACCCCACCTCCCATCCCGTCTGCTGTCCACCACCACCATCAGGAACATATGCACACTCCTTAAATGCAAACAAACAAAATTTATTGTAACCAGTGAGACCCTTGATTGATTTTTCTTTTGTTAGTTCACGAACTAAAACAACAATTTTAAAAAAGGTTCCGAGATCCTGCTGGACACATTTGTGTTCCCCACACCGCTGGCTGTGTGAGAGGACACATGCATAAACCCTTGGGCAGTCACACAGCCTAATGGCCTGGTCACCCGAGATACTGCTTAGAAAGCACCCCGCACGCCGTCTGGCACATGAACTCAAACACTTCTCTTCCTCCAGTAAGTCTTGGCCAGCCCCAACCATGATTCGGCGACTACTGCCTTTTCACTCTGAACTAAATTCATTTGCATGGTTTCTAGTCTATCTGAAGACTTTTCTCACATATTCGCTACCATTGGATGGTGGGCTCCCTAATCCAGGCGTGCAGCTCACCCACATGCACCGTGAAAGCTCCAAGAGGCAGCTGCCTGGGGGCTCTGCCTGGCCCTGGGCCTGGAGTATGGTTGTATGTGGCCGTTGTTTACATGTGAAAATAGTGTCTGGCTCAAAACTCTGTGGCCCAAACAACAGGCTCCTTCACCCTGAACATAGGGTCTAGAGATGTGAAGGGAAAATTTATCTGCTTCTCTGAGAATCTGTGTCACTTTTCTGAAAAATTGAAAATATTAGGTTATAAAGTTGGGTTTTTTGTTTTGTTTTTAAAGTAAGCATAGTGATTAAGAAAAGTGATTCATAAACTGTTACCCAGTTCCTAGTACTTTCAAACTTATTTCTAATAAGCCATCAGATTTTTATGTTGGATGTCTGCATCAGTTGGTGCATTAGAATCTCTCAGTGTCCTGTCAGACATTCTTTATCAAATGGCCCAAATAAAATTAATGCTTTTTGAAACACTGAGTGTATTTCTGCTTATAAGTAGAGAAGAAAGTAAAGTGGAATAATTTACTAAGAAGAGAAAAAAAGTTGTGGGTCAATTCACATTGCTATCCATTGTTTGAATTTAAGATGTGAAGGTGGCATGGTGACCAGAGAAGGTAATAATAGCTAACATTTATTGAGCGTTCTCTATGTATCAGGCACTGGACACTGTACATCTCATTTTACCCTCACAATATCCATGGTGTCCCTATGCTGGTATCGTCCCTACGATAAAGATGAGAAAACAGATTCAGAGAGGTTATCTTGCCCAAGATCACACAGCGATGGAGGCAGAATTTGAACCCTGGCTGTCTGAGCTCAGGGTCCACGTCCTTGTTAACCATCAAGCTCATGGTGCTCCTGGCTGCTGGGGCTGCCATGCTGTTTATTGACTGAATTACAAACCAAGCAGGACCAGTACAGCATGGTATTTAAAATGTGTTTTGTGAAAAAGTCTGTGGGACTGTGGGCCAGGACCCTAACATCTGTGGGTCTTGGTTGCCTCATAATAAAACTTGATGTTCAGGTTCATCATCTGTGAAAAGTCAGTGTGGGCTGTAGTCCCTTCTCGACCCAACCCCTTCATCCCCTGGTGTCATGGAAGAACACTGGCCAAGAGTCAGAAGCCAGCTGCACCAGTGGTCTGGGGGTGCACTCGACCTTCCGTTTCCTCACCTGTGAGACAGAGAGCCTTCTTCCAGCTCTCGGGGCCGGTTCTTCCAGTCCGCTCCATGTCACACATCTCACAGAGCACAGCTTTGTGTGACACCGCCCGCCCAGCTGCTCGTGCTGCACTTGTGCTTCCAGCACGGAAGACACGCCCTAAGTGAAAAAGGACAACATGCTGTTGAGAAGAGTATCTCAGTTTGGGCTATTCTTTGTTGTCTGAAATAACAAAACAAAGCATCAGAAGGAGCAGAAAGAAGCACTGATGGTAGCTAAGAGAGTTTGATAGGCAGCTCCAGAAAGTCCCCTATACCTTGGATTTGATCGCACGCAGAACCGAGTAGGAAATGTGGAGGTCATTGTTTTTTAGGCTATAAGAGCTTCAAGAATAGGAATCACATCTTATTGCTTTTTATCCCAGCATCTTAGAAAGTCCCTGGCACATGGTTGGCTCTCAGTCACACTTTGCTGAGTGACTGACTGGGAAACGAACCAGAGTGGATCAGGAGCTAGTGAGGCAGATGGACACAGTCCTAGCAAACACAACCAGAGCAGCTTGTGCAAGTGTGATGAGAGCTGTAGGAGAAGAAAGCTGATGGAACAGATTGTCAGAGCGCAACCTCCACAGAGTGGAGGGGTGGGGTGGAAAGAGCGTCTGACCGCACACACACCGGAGTCTCCCCGCCTGCCTTTCTGTCTTCCTCCACCCACACACCCAGTAGGTAGTCATTGAAGCCGGCTGGGTGCCAGGAGCTGGGCTCCAGGATACAGTGGACAAAGCAATGTTCCTGCCCCATGAAACAGGGGGCTGATTAGAGAAGATCAATGACAGTAGTAGATGCTTGTGTGATGGGTGTATCAGAACGCAAGCTTCTTATCAGCTCTAGGACTTTGAGCAAGTCACGGAAACCCCCGGGCATTTTTTAAGGATTAGAAATAATACAAGGGTACTTCAAAAAATTCATGAAAAGATTCATATTATCTTTTAATTCTATCCCTTCCATGAACTTTTTGAAAAGGAATTAACTTTTCTTTGAGTTTTGGGGGAGGGGAGGTTCTCCCGCTCCAACCCCCACTGCTTTCCAGAAAATGGGCACTTACTGGATATTGTGGAGAATCACTTTTTGGTTTTATTATTCTGATGATGATTTCTTCTATGAAACCTCACCCTGGCTCCTCTTAAACTGGCAGCAACTGAAATTCTAGATCTCTTAAGGTACAACACCTTACAATTAAATCTGTAATTACTGTTTGAATGAACACCATTTTAAACGTGCACACACCAAGCATGATCGTTGTATGAGTAGTTACGCATGGTACATTCTCAAGTTCCTAAAGTAATAAAGGGACTTTAGTTATGGCCTAAAACAAACAACGGCAACAAAACAAACCCCATATACATTTCTGTTTTTTCTCAAATTTCTGTTTGAAGCAAAAGGGAAATCACATTTTGCCTTCTGCTCCAGGGACAGGGTGGAAGCCACTTTTCAGAGCAGTTCTCCCGGAGCAATTGCTCCACAACCCCGTGTTCCTAGTGTCTGAACAAGTCTGCTCACACACTGTAAAGGAGGAAATACTGGAGTCTGGATTTTAGTCCCGTCCCGGCTCTGCCACCACCTCACTCCGTGACCTTGAGGAAGTCACCTGTCTGAGTGTTAGTTTCCTCATCTGGAAATAGAGAATAAGAATAACTGCCTCACAGATTGTTTAGACATTAAATGAGGTGACAAAACTTATTTCCTCAACTCCAAGACACCATCAATTTTAAGACATACCAAATTTTCAAGTGGAAAAGCTATTAATTACATTGTCTTCATTTTGATTGAAGACACCCAAATTTCCAGAAATCAAAATGTTTAAAAAATTATGCTTGAATTGAGGACATATCATAAACAAGAGTACTTTGGCAAAGGGAAGATTCTAGTCAAGTATAAGGTGATCTTATAATTGTGGACATCCTCCCCATGGTGGAGGACCTGCAATCTGTACCTGGGTTTCCCTGTCACTGCCATGTGGATCGCTTTGGGCACAGTGTGGTGTCATTTTTGTGTGGAACTTCCACCTTGTAAAGAATCAGAAAATATCTCCACGATCTCTCCTGGACCAAGCCGTTCTGCCCTTTCTGTGAGTTTCTTTTACACCTGACCAAGTGCCTCTCACCGTTTTTATGTCACTGCACAGCCAGAAAATATTTGCACAGCACTCTAGGGTAAAGGGAATATCAGTCGGGCCAAGGGGCCAATGTCTTCACCATCTGGAATCCATTCAGGGAATTCCAGTTGGCCCCCTTCTCTAATTAGTCTCTTCAATGAAAAAGAGGAGGAGGAGGAAGAGGAAGAGAAAAGAAGAAAATGCTGGTAGTGTTCACTGTTTTTTGCTGGAGAATTTTAAGAGCACTTTTGTTTTTCAAAGCATCTTTACAGTAATGGTTTGGTAATTTTGATCAAAATACTTTTGGACCTGTGGGTGCCATAAATAAAGAAGTTCTGATACCTGCCCATGTGTCAGAATCACGGGGGAAACGTGTGTGTGTGTGTGTGTGTGTGTGTGTGTGTGTTTCCGCTTATAGCCTGAGGCCTGGAACTTTGGATTGTAAGAAGTACTCCAGATGATTATTTATGTGCAGTCGCATCTGGGAACCACTGCTTTAAAGGCCCTTGGAGGGCTTCACCTGGCGCTCTATTTTTCATGTCCCACATTGTTCATTCTTTTTTTCACCCTGGAAAGGTAGCTTTTCTGATGCAGTGGTCCAAACCTAGTCCTGCAGTATACTTGCATATGTGCCTAGTCCTGCCCCCTGGTGTACAAGGAGGACACTACAAGGAGAAGGGAATCAGCTGATGTGCTGGGCTGGAAGCTCAGCCTCCCAGGCTTGTAATTTTCTATGAGACTTGTGTGTCTTAGAGTTTGGTCTAGGAATTGCCTGCATCAGAATCACCTTGAAGTTCACTAGAAAACCAATCTGAACTGGGCTTTCAAATTTTGGACTCATAATCTGCATTTTATACAAGAACATTGGTGAGTCTTATGCATATTCAGATTTGGATCTACTGCATAGGGTGATTTAATAATCCCATTGAGCCGTAAAGGGTTAATTACAGGGTAAGCACAGGCATTGTTACCTGGGTCAAGGGAGACCTTTTACTGCCTAATAGCCATCCATGCACACAAATGGCCCTTGGAGTAAGCAGCCTTGCTTCTGTTACCACTGTTGGGCTGGTGACTAGGGAAACATTCTTAGGTCCCAAAATTCTTTCAGTGAAGGCAATGGTATAATTAAAGCTTGATATGATGGCTTGAATACACATAAGATTCAACACATCCCACCCTTGTCTTAGTTTAATCTGGCAGTTGGGGTGTTTTTGCTTTGGCTCTTATGGGTCTCTTAATCAGAGTGGAGATTCTAGAAAAAGTAGTTTTAACATAGGGCCCAGGAGCCCCTGAAGTTGCATGCAAAACTTTATGTGAATTAGTATATTTTTCTAGGAAAGGGTCCAGAACTACTGCCAGATTCTCAAAGGCATCCTTGACCCTGAAAGGGGAAAGATTAAGGATTAGAACAGAGGAATTTTTAAGCATTACAGCAGTGAAGAATTGTAAACAAAGGCTCACGGCTGGGTAAGGATTTCTGAACCTCTGCAGATGGAGCCGACAGTAAATCGTGATTTCCAGCATTCTTCAAGACTCACCTGCTTTCTCTCAGATTTTCTTCCTGCCTCATTCTTCATTCCTTTATGTTTGTCTCTCTTTTCGGTTTTCATTCCCCCATCTTTTTGCCTCTCTTTTCCTCCCTGCCCCCACCTTGCTGCCCCTTCTGGACATCCATTCTCTCTCCCGTCCTGTCCCCTCCCTTACTGACCTGGATAGGAAGCAAAGCATGTTCTTTTGTTTGTTCTACCTATGCAGTATATTTTATGTTGGTGCTTCTTGTTTTTAAAATTAAGTGCATTGAACATTTATTTATTTATTTATTTATTTTTTTGGCTTTTTTGTCTTTTTCCGTGTCCGGCAACGGATCGCAACCCTCAGTGTTGCCCCCGTACCGGACCGGGGACCGGCAACGGGACTGCAACCCTCGGTGTTGCCCCCGCGCCTCGCTCAGCCAGTGAGCAGGAACCAGTCTGCATGTGGGATCCGAACCCTCGGGCGGGAGCGCCGCCGCGCTTCCCAAGCGGCGCACTTATCCAGTGCGCCACCGGGCCGGCCCCGTGCATTGAACATTTAATATTTCTCCAGTCGAGGGAGAAAATAATGCTTTAGGTACCCTGAACTCCGTGGTTTGGGGACCTGGCCCTTGTCAGGTTTTCTGTGGGCAGTGGGGGCGGGCCAAGAGCAGGCATGCCTCAGGCCTGCCTCTTGTTCTGAGTTTGAGCCTGATGAAGAAAGAATGACTGATCAGAATCCTAGATGCCTGGCTCCGAGCCTCCACCCCTAACCCCCCACAGGGCTGTCTCCATTGGATCATTTTCATTTGCCGGCTTTGGCTGTAGAGACCAGAGGAAGAAAGCATAGGCTGAGGAGGCTTGGGACCTGGTTGAGGCTGCAGAAGGAAGTGAGGGCTAGCTCTGCCCAGCTTTGGCCCTTGTGTCTTTTCCTGCTCTGTGAGCAGGAGGGGATCAACTGGCTGGGTTCCTTAGCTGGTGTTCTTTGGATGGATGCCTGACGCATGAAATCACTGGCTCAGGAGGGCCCTTTCACACAACCCAGCCTCACACACCTCAGCCCCGAGCATCTGGAGTTCCAAGGAAGTGGAGGGTGACACCCTGAGGGAGGGGGGACATGTCCCACCTGTGCCCCCAGGTGGTTGGCTGCTGGGTTCCTTCCTCTCACTGTGCAGCAAAGGTGTCCTCTGTTTGGGGGAGTTTGTAGAATGCTGTCCGTGGGGCTGTGGAAGGACAAATGAAGGCACTTTTGGGCTCAAGCATTTTGGGAGTGCCTTCTAGGTTGGGGGGTATGATGGTTGGTCTGTGTAGGACACCAAGTCAGGGGAGATGTGCCCTCGAGTCACTCACATTTGGGTGGGAAATGAGGTGACCAGCTACAGATCCAGAGAATCAGGTGGACAGCCCCAGGCCATGAGTGGATGGTGCAGAGAGCACCAGCCGGGGATGGCTCTGTGACCTGAGAAGCCTGTGGGTGCTGGCCAGGTGGGTGTGGAGTTTGCCACAGGTGGAGTTGGTAGGAGAGTACTGCCTCCTAGGGGCTGGCGGTAGATGACGCCCACATCCTAAATTTGAAAGTTATGTAAGCCAATGAGGGCCTGTGTGCTTTTCTCTTCTGTAACGTCACTCCAGGGCCCAGACAAGGCCAGAGCTAGAGATTCCTGAGTTTGTGGCAGAAGGGGTCCCCAGGCCTGCTTACCATCTAACTTAGAGATCACTCTAGTCCTGAATCTTAATGCTCCTGGGGGCAGGGGCATGCAAGTTCATCTTCAGGGATGTGTTCTGAATAAATATTGGGGCCTCTGCCACAGGGGTGGCCTAACCCTAGCACACAGGCGCCCACAGCCCAGGTCAGCGCTAGGCAGTGGGGCAGCTTCTAGAAACACCTCCCTGGGGACTGCATTTACCGGTGAGTTTCTGAGCCCTGTAGAGAGTTGGCAAGTGGCTATAACTGCTGGCTTGACTTGAAAGATCACATCATATTTACTACAGTCATCAGAGCCATGGCTTTGAAGTCAAACCCCTGGGTTCAAATTCCAGCCCAGCTGTAACTTGTCAATGGACTTGGTCAAGTTAGTTAACCTGCTGTCCTCATTTCTGAAAAGCAGGTGATAATGCTGACCTTGCTTGGTTCTCAAAGCATGAAATAAGACAATGTAAGAGGCCTGGGGTCACACCTGGCAGGAAAAAGTTGCTCAATAAATATTGTCATTGTCACTGTTTATCTGGGAAGAATAGGTCCTTGGAAGTTCCTGGGCGATATTCTAAGGCAGTGCTTCTCAAGCTTCAAGATCTGGGGATCTTGTTAAAATGAACATTCCAGTTCTGTAGGTGGGGAGACGGCGGGGAAGGGGAGAGGAGACAGCTGAGATTCTGCATTTCTAACTGGCTCTCAGGTGGTGCTAATGCTGCTGGTTCCATGACCATACTTTGCATAACAAGGTTCCTGGGGTGCTTCAGTCAAGTCCAGCCTAGAGAAGCGTCATCCTTCCTCCTTTCTCTTTGCTCTGCTCCCTGTACCCTCTGGATCAATCAGTCATCAAAACACTTTCTGCCCTATGAACAAATACTTCAGGACAGCAGGTGTGAACTGGGACTGTCTGGGCAGGATGCATGGTCACCCTACACATCAAGTGCCCCGTGATTGTATCCATCTTGGAGTGAGGAGGGAGTCCAGAGGGAAGAGGGAATTTGTCCTTGACCTTGAGGAGCTCCTAATCTGATGGGGAGATGGTTCTGACAGTTCACTCTCCATGAATACCTGCAGAAAAGGCACACAAAGGCTTGCAAAGGAACACACTGTGGCACAGGCAGGTGCCACTTCTGGTTTCCTCCTCTCAGAGCAGAATGCTGTGGGTGCTGAGAGCACAGCACCCCTGCCAGCCCCCCAAAGGGAAGCAGGTCTCAGCATGAAGCTGTAAGGTCAGGGCGCTATTATTGTATTAGCCCAGGGCAGCCTGGGTTAAAGGCATATGCACTCAAGGCCAGCTTGCATTCAGTAGGACCCCGTGCTAAATGCCATTCCCGGCCTTGGGTTCCAGTGACTGAGAGGTTTGAAAGTGGGAATGTGCGAGGACTGGGACAACAGTACCCTTGACTTTGCTGAAGTTTTCAGTGGGAATTGGGCATGGCTGCTGTTGAGACACTGCAGTCTGTACTTCTTGACAGCTTTACTGCAAATCCCCCCATCCCTCACCCGTGAATAAAACTCTAGAAGTTTTATTCTAGAAGTCAGCAAAGAGAGCCATGGTTTTTACCTAAATCCTGAGCACATGGTACTTTCTGCCCAAATCTGGCCCAACAGGATTTGTGGTCAGGTGGCTGCTGGTACAGTGAGAGCTGGAGCTTCCTCAGCTGGGCTTCTAGCTCACTGTGGTGAGCAGAGCCCAAAGCCACATCTAGGAGTAGTCAGGGTCTGTGACTCTGCGGCTGCTGGTACAGTGAGAGCTGGAGCTTCCTCAGCTGGGCTTCTAGCTCACTGTGGTGAGCTGAGCCCAAAGCCACATCTAGGAGTAGTCAGGGTCTGTGACTCTGCCCCTTACTTTCCCACCAGCCTTGGTCAGGAAGCTCCCTTTATTCTCTATTTCCACATCTGCGAAGCAGGGAGGAGCCCAGGCCTAAAGCAAGGATGAGGGTGTGACCCCTGATGGGGTTGCTGTTTTTATTATCTATAATACACAATTTGCCATTTTAAC